TGCCAGACCTGCTGAGCTTTTCCAGCGACTTTGTTTTTGTTGTGAGAGGCAATATTGTGCTTTCTTAACCACCACGTTGACATGGGTGGAAAAGAACAGGTTTTTGGTGATCATGACTGCCAGGAACTTGACACTCTCGACCATCTCCACCTGAACGCCATTATTGCAGACCGGAACGTGCCCTCCACTCTGCTTCCTGAAGTCAATGACTAGCTCCTTCGTTCTGCTGACCTTGATGGAGAGACTGTTGTCTTTACACCATGCCGCGAAGCACTCTGACTTCTTCCTGTACTCTGTCTTTTCATTGTTTTGAGATCCGACCTACAGCGATGGTGTCATCAGAAAACTTGTAAATGGAGTTGGGCAGAATTTGGCCATGGTTGTGTGTCTGAATGATAAGTATAGTAGGGGGCTGAGTACACAGCCTTGCGGGGCACTGGTGTTGAGGATTATCTTTGAGGTATTGTTGTCGCCTATCCTTACTGCAGTCTGTTGATCAGAAAGTCGAGATTCCAGTTACAGAGTGGGGAGCAGAGTCCTAGATCTCGGAGTTTGGAGATGAGTTTGTTTGGAATTATGTTGTTGAAGGCAGAGCCGTGGTCAATATGTAGGAGCCAGCCTCTTCCTGTGGGTTCACCCTTAAGGCTGATCTAACGTCTGCAGCGGTGGCCGAGGGTACAGGTGCACCTTAGGACATGTGACATCAATTCATAGCCCTTCTTTTCAAAGCAAGCATAGAATGCATTCATCTCATTGGGTAGAGATGAACTGTTGCCTGCGATTTTGTTCGACTTCGTTTTGTAGCCCATACGACGTGTAAGCCTTGCCACAAATGATGGATGTCCACGTGGTTAGTCTGGGCCCCAAGCTTAGTTTGGTATTGCCTGTTGGTGTCCCTGATGGCCTTACGAAGGTAGTACCTGAATTTCCTGAATAGATCAGGGCCGCCTGACTTGAACACCTCAGCCTGGGACTTCAGTAGAGAATGGATCTCCCAGTTCATCTATGGACACATTTAGTGTCCATTTCCCACTTGCTTTGTACAGGAGCATGAGAGTTTAGACTGGATACTTGAGCTGTAGCACTGAGATTGTTTTAATTTTTTTGATGAACTTTATAGTACAATAATGCTGTGGACAGTCATTCACTCAACCAAAAGAATTCCAATATGTAGTTATATCTGTGATTGAATATTATACATCATGTGTACTCTTGCCATTTTAACTAAAATAACTATTTTTAACTGTTGCTAATATAAGTTACTATATTTATATGTTTGGATGATGTGCATACCATGTAAAAGATATGAAGAAAAAATAAATGATTCTAATATTCAGCCTGTTAAGCAAAAATGGACCACTGGAAGATAGAGAGAGTGTGTTGATTAAAGTTTTCGAGAAGATTTGTAGCTCGAGTTGTGGATGAGGTTGTAGATATGCTCGCGTTTCGTTTGCAAACGTTTCATCACCCTGATAGGAACACCAACTAGCCACCAAGAGACACGACCAATTCTCACTTGTCTCGTTACACACGGGCAATGCAGGACACAAATTCGACTGGGACAACATATCTATAATCGCACAAGCCAAACACAGACATGCCAGGGAATTCCTTGAGGCCGGGTATTCCAACCAGAATTCCATCAATAAACATGTTGAATTAGGCCCTGTGTACAAACCATTGAGAAACAGGACTGGAAGTAATACCAGCCATCCCAGCAAACCGAGGCATATAAATAACAAGCGGGACAGAACACCGACACTTCACCGGAGGAGCACTGACAATGTTACCTAGCAGGGTGACGAAACATTTGCAACCAAACCCACAGCTTGGTGAGCATGTCTACAATCTCATACTGCGTTGGTTTGTCAATTAGTTTTATTTTATTCATGTTGGTAAATGTGCAAAATTTAACTTTTCTTTTACTTTCAGGATCAAGTCATTCAGCTTGTTAATGCTGTATTCAGTAAGAAACATTTTACCACAATGTCCGAGGCTTTCAGCATTGCCTGTGCTGCTGCAGCTTTGTCCCATAATCAGTACCATATTCCAATCATTGTGGTAGCTGAAGGAATTGCTTCTGTTTCGCACAAGAAGCCCAACCTAAAGGTAACTTCTGCCCATTTGTGCTCAGTTCAACTTTTGTAACAAAAGTAACTTCTTTGTCCAAGCTGAGAAACTTTTTCCCTTACTGAAGTGATAGGAAGTTGAATCTACTTTTGGTCCTTTCTCTGGTTCACTGACTTCAGTTGCTGCCTTAAATAATCTGAACATGTTAAGAGTTAATTCTCGCTGAACAAACTGATGTGAATTGTGGAAGGGTGCAACAATAATATCCTGTCACAACTTGAAAGCACTTTTTTTTTGTCGGTTGCGAATATATCTTCAATTCCTTTTGGGGTGAACCAAGTTAATATGGTGAATGAGATAAAACAGCTTAAACTTGCTTCTTATGTGAACATTGCACTAAAGTATGTACTGTGTTTATAAAAATAGGAATATATGCAATGTAAAATAAAATGTAGTTGTGTGTCAGTTTAAGATGGAGTTGTTTAATGGATGTTGGGTCAAATACCTGTATACCTGGAATCCAGTATTGCACAGATGAGAAATGACAGCAATGTGGGAAAATATGGATCTCAGCCATTACTTTTCAGTCTGCTGTTTTCACACTTGCTTTCCCCTACTTTCTCACTGTCTCTGAGTACTGAATCCCCTCATGTTTCCATCACCCATTTCTCTTCCCAACACTGTTATAATCTGGAACTCCATCCACTCTCCCCTCTCAACAGTGAATGGCAAAGGAACTAGAGAACCTTCAACTTGAATCTTGCTGTTTGTACTCAATTGTTTAGTTTTAAAATTTATTTTTTTAAACAAGGTAATAAATTACAATATTATTTTTAATATATTACACTTATTTTTGCCTGTCTCACTTCTCTTTCTCCACATTTGTTTTCTCTTTCTCTTTCTTTCTTTTTTAAATCTGATTGCCCTTTTTTAACTTGATATATGCACTGGAAAATCTTTGAATATTCCTTTGCCTCATGAATTGGGAGCAATTTATTAGAATTTATTCTGGCTCATCATCTCTAATTTTCGAGCCACATTGGTGACAAGGGAGGAACTGTTATCTGGTTTTGGACCTAATTCAGGTTAAAAGAGCATGTGAAGGTTGTATAAGGTGTATCTGAAAACAAGTGATGTTCATCTTCTGATGCTATGCTGTTATTATTTTAATCAATTTTAAATAAGATGTGAATCCATCTGGCCAAATGACTTGCCATTTAAGTGCTTGGTATTTTCAACATTGCCGTTATTGTATAACCTTTGTCACTGGGGAAACAGTGCACTTTACACTTATTCAGGTCACTGAACAAAATTGATAGCTATTTTATGGAGTGTTAAATTAGAAGAAGAACTAACTATATGGTGTACATCTGGTCTTGGTATTTAAAATCAAATTATGGGAAATTAATTGGAGCAAAATAATGTTTCATGGTGAAAATGGCAATGATTAAGTTTTCATTAGGGTTACAACTGAAGCAAGTTTGTTAACAAGGACATTTATTTTTGTTTTGGAGCTGCACTTTTTTTTTGTTTACAGGATTCTGTCTACATTTGGTGTTTAGGGAAACCACTTTTGACACTATCCTAAATATAATGTTGAGCTAATTGGACGTAAGACTTGGCGTTTCTTTTAGAAAGGAAATCTGCCATTCTCCAACTCTGACTGGTGTGACTCCAGATCTACAGCAGTGTGTTGACTCTTAACTGCCTTCTGAAATGGCCTAGAAAGCCACTCAGTTTAAAGGCCTTTCCAACATTCTATGAAAGATTTTAAAAAATAAATGCATACAGTGTAGACTGTAGTGTCCATTTCAAGAGGCCAATTGTGTTCATCTATGGTTATATTTTAAAAGCAGCAGCATTTGACATGTAATTAGAACATATCTTCCATGAAGTGGCATATCTCGATATTTATCATATTCTCCACTTAATCTTGCCTTCCATTGCTTGTTTCCAGTTGCGTGTGACAAATATTTTGTCTGAGAGTCTGACTTCAGCTGATGTTCAGCTTGAAAATGCCAAGTCTACTTTGACAAAAAACACAGTTCTTCAGCAAACATCCTTTGCTTTGAAAGGGTAAGAAAAAACTTTCTGTGCCTGTTTTCTCTTGTCCCTGTAGACCACCTGAAATGGTTAACACCAAATTTCACCATGTCATGGTCATGCTGTTATAAGTAACTTGTATGTAATGACTTTAGCAACAGACTATTGGCTACATGAATGCAGAAAGCCGTTGATAGTTTAGCTACAGCAAATAGCGTTGAGTTATTGTTAATCATCAGAGGATCGCACTATGATTTTCTTGGTTTTTTTCTATAGTGATATCTTTGAATTAAATTTTATGGAGATAAAGCCACCAAGTGGATATTATGACTTTTCTATCAATGTGGAGGGTGATAGCCGATTTATAGGAAACCACATCGAGGTATGTGTTTTGCTGTAACTGGCATGGATGTATTTTTTAAATCATCTGTAAATATGAAAGGGCAGTTCCACTGACATTTATTTTGATGAATCTGATGTAATTTGTAGTTGTATGCTCGTAGAATCCTAATTTCATTTTATAATGTCCTGGTCCAAAGAAGTATCTTACTGCACTTGTAACGTTAACTCTGTTTCTGTCCCCACAGATGCTGCCACCTTGGCTTTGCCCTCATAGCCTGCTGTCTGCCATACATGAATCTGATCTTCCTTTGTTTACATCTTGCTTTAATTTTCTTCCTCTCACTCTTCCTTTCCCCCAGGTCGTTAGGCTTCATCCTCTCTTTGGTTGTACCATAACATTTGCAAACAGTGTTTAAAGATAAATAGGTTTATGGTTGTCCTGCCTGAATGTTTTGTAACTTACGCTTCCTCTACTGAAATGCCTAATCTTGCCTTTACTGATTAGTTGAAACTATGTCCAACAGGCCACGAGAGTATAATCTCAATGACTTGATAACATGAGAAAATTATTAGATTCCATATTCTGTATCCACCAGAAGACTGGTCATGCACATAAAGTAAAAGAATTAAATGGTGCTGAACAGGCCTCTTTATCCTGGGTTACCAAGCATTATAATAGCGAAGTCTCTTTCTGGCAAGCTGTAATACAATGAGTGACAGTCTGGCAACTCAACAATGTTATTTCAGGTTTATATGTAACCTGGTTCTTCCACAGCATTTCTGTCAAACTTGTATTGATTCACTAATGAGGCCTTGCCATATTTGAACTTGTTTTCTATAGTCTTACCTTTAAAACTTCAATTTCAAAAATGAAAAATCTGAGAATCACCTTCTATTGCATGCCATAGGAAATGACATGCCCTCTGTAATTGTTTAAATATCAGTTTTTTTCATCAATTTTGACAATTTGACTGATCCAACTCATGCTGCTTCCATATTATGAGAGTTCAGTCACATATAGGCGTGGAAGATAGTTCATTTCTATATACGGTTTGTCTTTAATGTTATAAAAACTGATGCACTGGCTTGTCACTTGTCAGAATTTGAAAATTGTCATTCACAAAAACATAGTCCTTAATAGAATTCCATTTTATAACAGTAGTTAGAAACTTAGAACCTAGGAGCAAGAGTAGACTATTTGCCCCTTCAACCCCCCTCTGTCATTCAAATTGATCATGGCTGATCCTGTATCTCAGTGCATATTCCTGCCTTCACTAAAGATTCTGCTGTTGGCAGCACGTCATGGCTGAGGGGGAGCCTTGGGCACTCTGACTTCTCTTTCCAAACTGTTCACACACTGTAGTGATGCCTCTTTAAAACTTTATGTTGCTTTTCCTATCTATTAGGACTTTTGTTGACATTTTTCTTACATAGTAGTGATTTATAAGTCTTTAACTTGTCAAACTTTTTGATCTTAGATCAAAGTCAAGGTTGCCACTGAAGTCGATATCACTAATGTTGACCTCTCAGTAGTTGACAGGGATCAAAGCATTTCACCAAAGACCACCAGGTAAAGCAAAGTAGTATTAAATATACTGAAACATTTGTAGTAATATATGCCATTTCTGAAATTAAAATAATGTTTCTGAATTTTTAAGTACATAGATAATTGAGAATATTTTTAAAATTTAGTTTTCAATATTAATTCCCATTAGGGTGACTTATCCGTCAAAAGCCAAGGGGCTTATTACTGCTGACAGTCACCAGAGCTTTGCGTTATCATTCCAATTGACAGACGTGAATACTGGCACTGAGCTTACTCCACATCAAGTATGTATTATACAGTTTTATGCCAACTGTGTCTTTTTTATTTGTCTTTTGAAACAAGGATGCAGTTTTACTGTCTTGTCTGTTTAGACTTGCAGAGTTTCTGTTCTAGAATAAGAACACACAAACCAATGAATTGGTGCTCAAACTTATTTTGGGAAAATGCCCATTTTAATATTAGTCCAGATCTGTGGGCAGCGTTTTTCAGGGTTACCTAAAGCCCCACCTCCAGAGCCAAAAGAGGCGACCATCCACCCTGGGAAGAGGTGGGAGAGAAACATGTTGGTGGCATCCAATTAGAAGCTGTTGGATGACTTCAAGCCCTAAGGCCTGCCAGTTTAGTCAGAGGATCAGTACTCCTGCAGGCAGTGGCCAGTGCTGAGGCTGCAAATCCAGAAACAGGGCATCTCAAATAGGAGTACCTTTTGGGGGAGAGGGAAGTTTAATGCGGAGAAGCGTTGTCCAGGCATGCAGGCTGCAGCATTCAAGTGTGGGAAATGGTGCTCTGTAGTCCATTGCCTTGGAGGTGACCACTGCCACTGTTCAGCCCTTCTATGCTCTATGGAATGCCTATCGAGAAGGATCCCGTCACCATCCTGAGAGATCTCCTGATTCAAGTAAAGTTCTCACAGTTGTGGAAAGGGCCCTTAATTAGCCACTATTCAAAGGTTTCACCAAGGATTCCACTACTGGAAAAACACTGGCTGAGAGAAGGCCTCAGGCACGCCTCCTGATGACTTCCCCCACCATGTTGACAGCATTCCCAGCTCTGAGAAGTTAGGATCACTCGCTGATTCCAAATGAGTGAAATAATTTTGCCAGCCAAGGCAACATATTTAGGAACATTGTTCTGATGGGAGGACATCAACTTGAAACATTTTAACTCTGGTTCTGTCCACGAATGCTGCCTGATCTGCTGAACATACCTAGACATTTTTGTTTTTGCTTCTGTTCACAGAATTTGTTAGACTGAATCTCTACTTTTTTTTTCTGAACTATGCTTTTTGTTTAAAGAATTGCTACAGTATTCTCCACTAAGCATCTATATTCTGTTGCTTGATTTAAGGCTGAAACAAGAATTTTGCATTAACCCACAGTGCTTTAAATACTGTTGTAGCCAAATTTCTATATAAACTCCACTTTTCCTGCTGTACAACCTCCTCCCCAGGCCAGTAAAATGTTGTAGCAGTCTTCATAATTCCACTGCCAAATTGTTTGAGCTATTTCAAGGAATGATTTTGATATCTAATGTCTCATTTTTGTTTTATGTTGGAAGCAAGCTGAATGCCGGAGTGATCCAAAGATCAAAGTGACCAAACAACAAATTTCAAGAATTGGAGAAATCTGCTTGCAGTTTTCCTTAAAAATTTATGAGCAAACTGTCCTGCCATTGCAGCAAGGCCTATAAGCTGCAGAGTTATAACTTTATGAATTTTAGTGCAGTGTGCAATATTTAGTTATGAAAATGCCACATTTTTTGTGCAGCAATTGATTGTTGTAAAATATTGACCTTCTCAATAACTTGCTTGTGCATTATTAAGTGCCACGGTACTTTGTATGTTTTAGACTTTTGTACGTCTCTACAATCAGAAGACTGATCAGGAGGTCGTATTTGTGGCTGAACCAGATAGTAAAAAAGTGTACAAGTTTGACCTAGATGTGGCAGAGAGAAAATCTGAATTTAATTCAGTTTCTGGAACCTATTCCCTTTTTTTGATCATTGGAGATGCAACAATTGAAAACCCAATTCTCTGGCACCTGGTAAGTCTGTGTTCTCCGACTGAATATTATTTACTGTTCCAAGATGAGTGCAATGAAGGTGAGTCCTTTGGCCTTTATTTTAATGAGCACAGTAATTTTCTGACTATCTTTACATTGCTTGGACACATTTGATAAACCAAGACTTGAAGTTTTGCAATTCCTTTTTTTTTCTGCTGCTAAGTTTATATTCATACTATTTAAGGTCATGGTTTCATTTTAATATGGCAAATATATGCTCTTTGCTCTCTGGTTGAGTGCTGACATTACAAAGCTGTTTTACAGTTGGCTGAAAATAACCAGAGTGCTTAAGTTTGTTTTCCCAAAGAAAAAGTACCATTATTTTATCTCCCTTGTTGCTGGCAGGTTATTTTAATATCTTTGTCTAAAGCAGGTAAAGTAAAAAGCAAAATATGATCACTAACTTTTTTAGCATACCTATGTTCTCAAGCTGAGAGGGTATTGTGCTAGGCAAACCTCATTCATTAGAGCTCATGTCATGCACAATATCAGAACATACAGTTGTATTTCTCATTACTGAATGACATTCATAGTTTGAGCTTTCTTTTATACTACATGATTCCAGAGCAAAATTCACATGTCCTATATCGAACACTAATTCATTGTCAGTGAAATGACCTAATATCACACTGCAAAGGAAGGAAATGTTCCGTGATTCAGGACAGTTAGAACTCCATCTGATTGAACATGAGTGAAGAATGTATTGACAGAGTAACTGTACATTGAGTCCAGTTAAAATTTATGCATCCTACTTTTAATAAAAATCTGAGTTTTGTAATGTATCTTATATTTAATTTTCAAATGTGATCAAGGTAGTAGAAATGGTAAGAGTTTATCCCTTAATAAGCAAATTTATCATTTTGGCTTGTTTTATAATCCAGTGAGAAACTGCAACAACTTTTTTTTGGTTGTTGAATAATATTCATTTCATAGGATCGTTAAGTCCAGTAGAATCCTTTTGTCAGGAATTGGATTGCCATTGCCTGTAGTTCAGTAAATTTGATGCATTGTATACTCTGTGTATTCTAATATTTAGAAATAATTAAAAACCACGACTATTGTATTTGCCAGTCCATCTGCTTTGCTTTTTACTGACTGAAATAATTACTTCCATGGAGTTCTTTGAAGTAGTCTTGTAATTGTTCAAGTCGAATCAAATCAAGGTATAACGGCAATTGTTTATTATTCCTAATACCCAATGAGCTCTAGAGTTTGTCATGTTTGGTGCAAAATTGCCAAAGAAAATTGATTGGAAATGGCTATTTAAGGTATTTTACTGAAATTCATCATATAAAAATTGTTAGGCACACCGTTTCTGCCCAATGTGTCAGAATTATTAACCTACAGCAACTGTTACTGTTAAAGTAGCAGTTGTCAAACATCTTGTGGTTAGTTACAATTCTTTTGCTATCAAACGTGAAAACTGGCTTTTTGAAAATTACTAGTTTTCAATGCACTAACTGGATTTCAGACTGTGTTTCCAATTCCTCCTTTAAGATGTCCTTTAAAACCAACTTCTCTAACCAGGCCTGTCCAAATATCTCTCAGTATGTTCTTATTTCACTGCACTCCTATTAAGGACCTTGGAATGATTTATTATGTTCAAGAAACTATGCATGTATATTTTTCTTATTTAACTGGAACAAGATATTTTCAGCATTCAGTAATCTTGTTTGATTAGAGTAAAGCTATAATGGGAAAAATGCGCCATTTGAACAACATTAAAGTAATTCCTTGGTGGGGGGGGGGAAATTGCTTTACATGCCTTAATCTTTCAAGTTCTAAACATGTGTTTTAGCCAACTTAACCTTGCATGAAATGTTTCAGTTGTTTGTAATTCAAATGCAAAAGCTAGAAAGTCAGATTACGACTAAGGCTTTTGATGTGATATTTTTTCAACACAAACAGGAAATCTGTATATTTTTTTTAAATTCCCTTCATAGGCTGATGTTGCAATTAAGTTTCCTGATGAAGAGGCTCCAACTCCTGTGCAGACTCAGAATGTCTTTGCCCCCAAGCCTGAAATTCAGGTAGGTACTAGTAAAGTAACTATAAACAAATGTCATTAAAATAAAATGTTGTCTTGATAGAATATTATACTGTCCATTAGAAAAGCAAGACATTTTACAGTGTGCACAATGAATTGTACTAATTACATAACTCATACCACATGTGACCATCCTTAAGATGATATCATGTTTTGGACAGAGGTGGGGATAAACATGCAGGTGATGTCACCAAATCCAGTCGATGCATCACTCTAACCTACAGATCAATTTTAAAACACATGCAACTTATGCAATCAATAACCCAAAGAGTGGCGCAAATGAAATCTATAGAACAGGATCCATGACCCACTAGCAATTGCCAGGGCAGTTGTCAAATCTAAACTGTTCTTCATGGTGCTTCTAGCTGTGACCTATCAGATCCCATTGCTCTTCAATGCAACATATTAATTCATCTAAGTTTGAGAAGAGTAAAGTTCAGTATATATTGCCAATGTGAATAAATTTGTCTTACTCAAATATGTTCAGCCATAGTCAATAGATAGCAATTTTCCTCTTCAAAAGTTGCAGTGTTCTCTTGCTTCAGGTATCCCTTCTCTGTCTGTGCTCTAATCACTATTTGCTTAATAGAATATTTAATGATTTCTTCTCACTCTTAATGTAGCATCCAAAATTAATGATCCTGAAGGCTATCCAACCTGAAGAAATGGTCTTTCTCTAAAGTCTCCCCATCTAACCATAATTTCATATTTCTGAAGTTATTTTATGCTGTTAGTTCTCTATGGTTTTATTATCCTTTTATTAATCAGACTGCAAGTTTACTATAACTTTCTTATTCTCTGCCCCTAACCCCAAAATCCCATTGCCCTCAACAATAGCTTTGTCTGTATGCCTGCTGATTTTTGGGAAATTACAGATTTGGATTGCTCTGTTCATCTACACTCTTCACTATCATCGTATTTAAGCTTATTCACACATTACTCGATCTTTTTCCGGCTTAAATGTAATTTTTATATTTTCTGGTTTTTTTAATATACACACCTGTATATTAAATTTCAGCTGCCATGTTGGCACACCAATCACTTATCTACCAGGGATTTTGCAGTTTTTTGACCTTAAACTTTCAATTTTCAGACTTCACCTCCCATGTTCTCTTTGGTTATGAGTGCTGGTAGCATGGCATGGCAAGGTTAGAGGGAACAGTTTGATATTTGGGATTGGTATACCTTGTTTGAACTTGACTAGAATGTTGATCTGCATGATTAGTGTTAATTATCCTTTCTTCCAGGAGACTTCAAGGTCAGGAGTCTATTCCACCTTGCTACCTTCCTTTGTCCTGTCTCCTTTTGCCTACTGCTAATATCACTGCAAGTTAATCATCTTCTGTTCTCCATGAAAGTGCACTTGCATGCTAGAGAGAGATTTTTAAATCTGAACTGTCATCTTTTCTTTCTCTACTAAGTGAATTAAACAGAATACCTACTTGACATAGGTATTTTCAGCCTGATCCATTGTTTCTTTATTGTGATCGGGCAAACTTCCACCACCATGTAACCCCCAGCTTTCCAAATCCCATCCCCCAGTTTTCTTCCCGCTCTTTCATAAGGAGTTGGTCAACGAATGGGACATATCATTCAATGAACATGCACGTTTGCAAGTAGATTCAATCCTCTGCTCTGGGCCACTCCTTTGTTAAGCATATATGTGAATTTTGGAAAGTAGAAACCTATCCATTTAATTGATTATCTTGAAATAGCATTTCAAGAGTTTAAACTTAGAATGGCATCCATAAAAATGCAAATATATTGATTGTTTTTAATGTATGACCGCAATCTTGAATGTTGATCTTTTTTTAAAACTCTACTTGTTTTTAATATAGGAAGCTTTTAAACATTATTCTCTTCACAGCACCTGTTTCGAGAGCCTGAAAAGAAGCCACCCATTGCAGTCTCAAATACTTTCACTGCCCTTGTTCTAGCACCCCTCTTACTGCTTATAATTCTGGTAAGTAGTAGCTTTGTCTGAGTTTTGACTGATTCCAGCGAACTGGTTTCAACTTAAGCAAGAAAAGACTTTTTAACCGTGGGTTTTTGCTGAGGTCTTTTAGGGAGCTATGAATTGCGTATTTTAATATTAAAACTAAGATTATTTAATGTCATCACTTGTTACAATGCAAAAGTCAATCAACTTGTTAGAAAAATGCTCTTGTAATTAAAAGCATAGAAAGGTTTTCAGTTCATTATGGACCCTTTTGGGAAATGTCATCAAAGCCTGCTGACACTTTATCCTTACTGTTTGAGAACTTTATTTATTTTTTATTCATTCACGGGATGTGGGCATTGCTGACATAGCAAGCATGTGTTGCCTGTCCCTAATTACCTTTGAGAAGGTGATGGAGTTGCTATCATGAGCTGCCGCAGTCCACTTGATGTAGGTAGACCCAGAATGTTGTTAGGGACCATGTTCCAGGATTTTGACTGAATGACAATTAAGGAATGCCAATATATTTCTGAATCTAGCTAGGTAGTGACTTGGAATAACTTGCTGATGTTGACATGCATCTGCTGATCTTGTCCTTCTAGGTAGTCACCACTGTAGTTTTTACAGCATGGACAGAAGCCCATTGTGTCCACAATGGTGATTGAGCATGTATCTATTCCAAGTGTATTTTCCAGCACTTGGACCATAGCCTTTTATGCTATGTTGTTTCAAATACTCATCTAAAAGCTCTTAAATGTCTTGACGGTTCTTGCCTATATCACACTGTAAGGCAGAGTATTTCAGATACCCACAACACTCTGGGTGAAAAGAAATCCGTCAAATTCCCTCCAAACCTCCTGCTGCCTAACTTAAAACTTTACCCTCTGGTAATTGAGCAGTCCATTTGAGGAAGAATTTCTCAAACTTTGTGCACCTTGACACCTGCACCCTAACCCCCAGCTTTCTCTGTTCTAAAGAAAACAGCCCCAATTTGTTTCTTCAGTGTTGAATTATTTCAGCCGGGTGAATCTATCCTGCACTCCATCTAGTGCGTTCACATCCTTCCTATTGTTAGTGACCTGAATTGTACACAGTACTCCAACTGTGGCCTAACTAACATTACATTCAGCTCCATCAGAGCTCCTTACTCTTGTATTCAATGTTTTGATTAATGAAGGCATTCTTAACCACCTTATCTACCTTCTGCTGACTTCAAGGATCTATGGGCATGCATAGTAAGGTCCCTCTGATCCACTGTACTTCAGAGGGTCCTACCATTCCTTTTCTTGTTAGTCCACCTAAAATGCATCACATCACACTTTTCAGAGCACTAACATCTAAATTTTTGATCTGTGACTTTCCAGTATGCTGCCATGTCCTGCCCGCCGGTCTTGTCCTGGACATTTTAAGCTGGGATGTTATTGAAAGCGTACCAGAATTAGGTGGGAGACTGATCCCTCCCACTCCCTGTGTGAAGGTATCGATAGACCTATATAAGTTAGCAGTGGATTGTCTCTCTGGCGATGCAGACCCAGAAAGTTGTGTTCCCAAACCACGTTTACAGATTGACTGCTACTCAGTTTTCTGCAGTGGATCAGGTAGACAATCAGAAGAAGAAATTCCCAGTGAAGGAAAGACTTCTAGAGTGTAAATAGTGGTATAAATACTTAGTTTCTGATTACATTTTGAAATTGACTTTTAACTTCAGTAGAGCAGGATCCACAGTGTCCTCTGTTCAATTGGATCAGTCATGATCAGAGTTTCATGAGAAATTGAACTGATCATCCCAAACCCATTTACTCAATAACTGTTGCCGGTTGTAAATTATGCTCTTTTGCACAATGTCCTCTGGAGTAACATACATGCAATTTTTAAAATTTTCATGTGTACTGTATTTTACAGTGACAAAATTGTGTCATTGTTATGTCTATTCACGCAGTTTTTAATTAAAAGGTTTGTCAAACTAAATGGAATACGTTTAGATTCAATTTCATCTGTGATTTTCTTTTCAAATGTAATACGAATGATTTGCAATAAAGAACTGTTATTTTTATACGTTTGTTTCTAAAATGTTAATTTAGACCTCCTAAATGGAATGGGAAGACTAGTTTGAGCATGTAGGAATTTGTTTCTTATCCTGTAATTATGTTAAGCTTTTGTCTTTTAGTGATGATTGAGATAGTCCAATTAAACAAAGGTGAGTTCAGTTTAAAATTAGCTGAACTGAATAATTTTAAACCAATTTCACAATAAAGGATGAAGAAAACTCAATTACTGCAGTAACTTTAGTAACTGCATAACCTTAAAAACTTTAGCCGCTATCAGCGAGGATTTTAGTAAGTGCTCTAGCTAGCACATAAGAAAAACCTACATGTTTATGGTAAAATCCAAACCGTTGCATGCATTTCTGGAAAAGCAATTGTTACATTCAGCATTACGCAAATACATTTTCCTGGGAAGAATCTAAACTCTTAAATTGTCTCCTTTTTTAATTTGCAAGATTCGTTGATCATCAGTGCGAGGCTTTATTCCCGTGCTGATTCACATTGCTTAGTTAATGTCTAAGTAAATAATATCTTAATATCTATTACGAGTATAAAAGGTATTTTGAGGGTAAAATTGGAAGTGTATGAAATACTTTTTTTTTAAGAACCAGTATAAATAAATAAATTGAGATTTTCAACTATCAGTTATTAAACTACTTTGTGACCCACTTCAGAACCAGCACTGCAGAAAGTAAACCTGACTTTGGAAAAAGTGACATTGAACTGAAGAATCAACATTATCTTTGTAAAATAAGGACCTTAGAAATAAGTAATTTCTGTATGTGATAAACAGTTCGCACGGAAATGGTATGTACATCATGAAGACTTGTGATTACAGATGCCTTCAGGGCTTCATTTCAGGGTTTTCTTGATAATTGGCAAGTTCAGATTACAAATTCTTCTGATCCTTTGTATTATTGTTCTAAAATGGTTTGGGACCCACTTTTTGGGAGTGTGGGTGGGATCCAGTTATCTGTAGCAATATACTATCAGCAATCTTAGGCAGCCTAGTGAGTCTGAGAGATCTCCCAGGATTTTCTGTTTTTGCTTGGGCTTCCCAGGAATTAACATTATTGGCAGAGGACATACTAAAAGTTGCATCACTGATGGATGTGATGGGCTTTGTTTGCCATCCTTTACATTTGCCCTGTACAAAGCTGTGTAAGTTAGAAGGATGAGATGACATCTTTTAAAGAAGGCATGTTAAGGTCTAAATTGTGATACATTTTAAGACTGGTTTGTGTTTTTGAAAGTAGTATATTACCTTTGCAGATTGTGTTTTTAATTTTAAACAAAATGTTTTCTGCAGTGGATCAAACTTGGTGTCAACATCTCTAATTTCACCTTTTCTCCGAGCACCATTATCTTCCATTTGGGCCATGCTGGTGAGTTTTTAGGAAGTTAACATTGATTTGATACAAGTGAACATGGTTATGATGGGCTTAGAAAGGATAGACAAAGAAAAACTCCTATTAGCTAACTGTCTGCTAGTCCTTGTACACAACCTGAAGGTTTTGGGGAAGACATATAGAGGAGGAAAAACTATTGTTTTTAAATGTATTAAGTGGTCATGATTTAGAAATTGTGTTTACAAGGGTGGTGGAAGTAAAGATAATCAATAATCAAATAAATCCAATTGGCACTTGAAGGTAATAAAATTGTGACATCACAGAGATGAGAGGGGAAAAGTACTAAATGGATTACTTTGCAGAGAGCTAGTATGGACCTTTGGGGCAGAATTGCCTCTTCTGCAACCTAAATGACTGATCAGCAAACGTGGTACATTCAACATTTTTTAAATAAACTGATATCAGGAACATGCATCAGAATAGCAAATAGACCAGGTACTTAATAATTTTTCAATTAAACATGTGCCCATGTACTGAACTTAACTCTTTCAAAAAAGGAATAAAAAATTGCATCTGTTACAGTAAGGTAGTTAAAATTATGCACAAAATTGCCCTTTGTTTCTTTCTACTCCTTCATAAACATTTTTCTGTTTATTTTGTCAATACCTGGATTTGAATCTGATATTATGCCTGCTAGAACTCTAAACTGAAGTTGGATTGTGCGATTGTGCAGAACATTGGTGTGTCTAATTTCCTACAGTGGACCAGTATTTAATCGCAATGATGGAATATGCTATATATTTCTGCTCAAAAGCGGATCAAAATTATTTGAAGGAAAGCTGAAGAACAAATCTGTAAATCTTTATTTAAAATCTGCGTTTTTTCCCCTAATGTAGTGGAAATGTTGCATCTATGTGCCCAATCGTTGTAGGTTTTGTTTTGTGTTCTACATGCCCCAAAAAGAGCATTATGTTCGGAAATAAAATGTTTTTCTATTGTAATTGAATTTAATTTTCAAAATAAAGTTGAAAATTTGAAGCTATTTCTAATTAACTTGGTTGACTATTAAATATTGTGCCAGACAAATAAATATTCAACGTTCAGATAACACTTGGCCCTTACCCCATTCGAACAGTTTTGAGACAAAATGAAAGACAGCTTCCCCACTTAATTTTTGGCCGTATGGTTGTTACTGGACTGTCAAATCAGAGGATCAGAATGAGTTTGAATTCAGTTCAAAAACAATAAAAATCTAATAGTGTAAAAAAAAATTGTGACCATAGCAATAAGATTGTTATAAAATCACAACAAATTCCCCAAATTTGTTTGGAAAATTAAACCTGCCATAGTTGGCAGCATTATCAGGTTGATAAAAGACTCCATTTTAATTCCCTCTAAAATGGCTATCCAGCCTCTACAGTAGGTGTTCAATAAGGAGGCAAACACTGTGTTCTCTAAGGAGATTTAGGAAGGGGAATCAAATCCCAGCCATGCTATCAATGCTACTGTCTTGAGAGTTTTTTTTTTAAACATTTTTTTTTGTTCAAATTGAAAGAATCATATTGATGTGAAAGCAACAGTCTCATGTACAGTTTTAAGTATTACTTAGAGGTTATACATTAGATAACAGACAGATTGGTTCTTGGAGACATAATCCTATCATAAGTAATGAATTCAGTGTTTAGAAAACTTCCCCAAGAAGTCTCCACTGTTAAAAGTGGGATATTACCTGTCCCTCCCATTGAGGTTAACAAACACCCACCTGAAATCCATCATGGAGCAAATCCTTGCATTCAATTCTGCATTCCACAGATTCCCTACCCACAGTAATGCCAGATTAAGGTGCCCCACATCCCCGTGCTGCTGGACTCCAGCAGCCCGACTGCAACACTGCTAAAGTTCAGGATCCCATTCGACTTCAGTAAAAATGCTGGGTGGGTAATGTCTTTGCTTCTTCAAAGTGTCACTTATTTAAGGTACTATTTACCTTGTTATGCTTATAGGGCACACTATCAATATAAGACAGAATGCCTTTTACATTGCGTGAACAATATGATGGGAGGTCTGCTTGTTAATGTTTTAAAAGATCTTAAAATGGGACATTAGCCGTTTAACTATCTCTCTATGAAATAACCTTAACACCACTTAGATGAATAGTTTGCCATTTTGAAATTGTGCAAAATTACATTTGTTTCAGAAATAGTTGTCACCTTTCCCTGTGATTTAATCATTTTGACCATTTTGCTTTCATTGAATCATTGTGTTTTTATTCCCCTACTATTACAAAATCATTTGTGTGTTTGGCAAGAAGGAAATATTGGGCACAAGCTGAAAGTGAGGATGGAGCTACAACTTAATATAAAGACTCCAATGGAAACAAACAAATAGCAAGAAAAAACTTAAATACAATACAATTAAACTGATTTAAATCCTAGTTTTGTATGTGGTTAGAAAAGTCAGCAGGGGCTCCATATTTAGCTTCATTGCGGACAGGTGTGAAGCGTTCTGCTGCAAGGTTTGGTTATTAATATTGTGTATCACTGATAAATGCCGTAAGAGCCATTGCATTGTTTTTATTTATTAGCGAGAACCTATTTATTAAATATTCTAAGTCAAAGTGTATTTAGTTTTCTAATGTCTAGCAATCAATTAATTGACTTGATTGAACCTGCCAGCAAATAAAGGTCAGAGAGTAGTAAGGGCGTGGAATGCCCTGCCTGCAAAAGTAGTAGACTCGCCAACTTTAAGGGCATTTAAATGGTCATTGGATAAACATATGGATGATAATGGAATAGTTTAGGTTAGATGGGCTTCAGATTGGTTTCAAAGGTGGGCGCAACATCGAGGGCCGAAGAGCCTGTACTGCGCTGTAATGTTCTGTGTTCTAAACCATGACAGTTTATATGTCTTGAGGGACAAGCAGTATTCAGTAATGATGGTGCACAATTTGAAATCTAGATCTGCTTGTCTTTTACAAAGAAACAGTGTAAAGTTTTGAAGAATTGAGGTGCAAGTTTTTTAATGGTCTTATGTTCAGGAAACTAGTGAAATCAGATGCTACATACAGATAGCTGAAGTTTAAACATTTATGTTGGTTAAAAAGAAAATCTGAATGCAACTAGCAGTTTTTGATAAAGAACGTGATGAGCACACATAGCATCCTCATTTTGACCTGGTCAGTGAAGTATTTAGGTGCTCGCAGATTAAATTCAGCATAAATGATCTCTGTACTGATAATCCTAAAAGTTTCCTTTTGCACTGCTTTCATCAGGAATGTTGGGACTCATGTATGTATACTGGACTCAACTGAACATGTTTCAGACCCTGCAGTATCTTGCTATACTTGGCAGCATCACATTCTTTGCTGGAAACAGAATGTTAGCTCAGAAGGCAGTAAAAAGGTAAGGAATTCTCATCTAGCCCAAATACTCTGTTGTTTCTTTATCGCTGTATGTTTGGTTGTTTTACGCTAAATGTATTTAAACGACTTTTTAAATACAGTTGAAGTTAAGTGTTTTATAGGTGTTATAAAGAAATTAAATATTTAACTTTCAACATGCTAAATAATCAGAGCTGCATCCGCCTCACACAATTCCAGATAGTGATTAAGATTTTAGAAGTCCACAGAGGGCCAGTTTGTTGGAAGGTAGAAGCTTCACACTGAACATCTAAACTGTGGAGTTTGCCACCTCTAATTGCAATCTCAGTGTAACTGAGAAAATAAACTATGGGGGATCCATCACAATCTTGATCAACTAAAGTGGGCTGAACAGGAAAAGTGATGGGAATTACACAATAGGATTAATAGGATTTTGCAAAGAGTGATTTTGATTCCTAAATCTCGGTTCCTGTGGGTCAAAAACTTCAAGATCTCTAAAAGCAAATTCCACTACAAACAAAAAAACAAACTAATAACACTTACTGTAAAGCATTATTTTTCGAAGTATCTGTAATAGTTTAACTAAACTTGTTAAAAAAATTGTTGTATGGGATGTGACTTCGCTGGCAAAAGCCACCATTTGTTGATCAGTCCTACATGCCCTTAAAGTGATTAACTCTCTAGGCCATGTCAAGTAAGAATGGCAAATTCTCTTCCCTTAGGAATAGTACTGAATCAGATGTGTTTCTGCACTATATAACAATGTTTAATTCCAGTTTTTTTTTTATTGAATTCACATTGCATCATCTACCATAGGTACATACAGCAGGGTAAGGTTTATAACTGGGGGAAGGGTAATTACAATTCTGTTAGGCAAGAACTGGGTAACATAAAATGGGAACAGATGTTGTCAGGGAAGAGCACTATTGAAATGTGGAGATTGTTTAAGGAATGCATACTGCATGTGCTCGATATGTTTGTCCGGAGCAGACAGGGAAGATGCGGTCGAGTGAGGGAGCCTTTGTTCTCAAGAGAGGTCAAACGACTGGTTAAGAGGAAGAAGGATGCTTATATAAGGTTTAGGAAACAAGGAACGGAAAAGGCTCTAGAGGGATACACGTTATCCAGGAAGGAGCTGAAGAAGGGGCTTAGGAGAGCTAGAAGGGGGCATGAGAAAACCTTGGCAGATAGGATCAAGGAAAACTCCAAGGCTTTTTACAGGTAGGTGAGGAATAAGAGAATGACCAGAGAAAGGGTAGGGCCGATCAAGGATTGTAAAGGGAATTTGTGCACGGAGCCTAAAGAGATAGGAGAGGTCCTTATTGAATACTTTTCTTCGGTATTCACAACTGAGAGGGACCTAGTTGTAGAGGAGGACAGTGTGAAACAGGCTGGTAGGATAGAGGAGGTCGATGTTAGTAAGGAAGATGTACTAGGAATTTTGAGGAACTTTGAAGATAGATAAGTCCGCCAGGCCTGGTGGGATTTATCCAAGGATTCTATGGGAAGCAAGGGAAGAGATTGCAGGGCCTTTGGCGATGATCTTTTCGTCCTCACTGTTCATGGGTATAGTGCCAGAAGATTGAAGAGAGGCAAACGTCATTCCCTTGTTCAAAAAAGGGAATAGGGATAATCCTGGAAATTACAGGCCAGTTAGTCTTACATCAGTGGTGGGCAAATTATTGGAAAGGGCTCTGAGAGATAGGATTTATGATCACTTGGAAAGGCACAGTTTGATTCATGATAGTCAGCATGGATTTGTGAGGGGTAGATCATGCCTCACAAACCTTATTGAATTCTTTGAAGAGGTGACCAAACACGTGGATGAAGGTAGAGCAGTGGATGTGGTATACATGGATTTAAGTAAGGTGTTTGATAAGGTTCCCCATGGTAGGCTCATGCAAAAGGTAAGGAGGCATGGGATAGGGGGAAATGTGGCAGATTGGATTCAGAATTGGCTGACCCTTAGAAGACAAAGGGTGGTAGTGGACAGAAAATATTCAACATGGTGCTCAGTTACGAGTGGTGTACCACAAGGATCTGTTCTGGGTCCTCTTCTATTTGTGATTTTTGTAAATGATTTGGATGAAGGAGTGGAAGGGTGGATTAGTAAGTTCGCCGACGATACGAAGGTGGGACGAGTTGTGGATAGTGTGGAGGGCTGTTCTAGGTTACAAAGGGACATTGATAGGATGCAGAGCTGGGCTGAGAAGTGGCAGATAGAGTTTAACCCTGAAAAGTGTGAGATGATTCATTTTGGAAGGACAAACTTGAAAGCAGAATACAGGGTTAACGGAAAGATTCTTAGCAGTGTGGAGGAGCAGAGGGATCTTGGAGTTCATGTCCACAGTTCCCTGGAAGCTGCCACCCAGGTGGATAGAGTTGTTAAGACGGCGTATGGTGTGTTAGCTCTCATTAATAGAGGGATTGAGTTCAGAAGCCGTGAAGTTATGCTCCAGCTATACAAAAGCCTGGTTCGGCCACATCTGGAGTATTGTGTCCAGTTCTGGTCGCCTCATTACAGGAAAGATGTGAAAGCGTTGGAAAAGATGCAGAGGAGATTTACCAGGATGTTGCCTGGATGGAGGGAAGGCCTTACAAGGAAAGGTTGAGCGAGCTAGGGCTTTTCTCTTTGGAACGACGAAGGATGAGAGGTGACTTGATACAGGTGTACAAAATGATCAGAGGTATAGATAGAGTGGACAGCCAGAGACTTTTTCCTATGGTGGAGGTAGCTATTATGAGGGGGCATAGTTTTAAAGTGAGTGGAGGTAGAAATAGGGGAGACGTCAGAGGTAGGTTCTTTACTCAGGGTGGTCGGGACGTGGAATGCTTTGCCAGAGAGGGTAGTGGAGTCGGACTCATTAGGAGCATTTAAGCGGCTATTAGATAGGCATATGGATGATGGTATAAGGTAGGAATGGAGGTTAGATAGACCTTAGGATTAGTGTAAAAATTCGGCAAAACATCGTAGGCTGAAGGGCCTGTACTGTGCTATGTTCTATGTTCTATAGTGGAACCTGAACCTAGAACATTAGCACAGGACTCTAGGTTACTAGCAACGTTCCCTCTAATTATCTTTCTAGCACCGCAAGTCTCCAAGGCCTATGCGTGGAACCTTGGAGTGGCTGCACGCACAATCAGCTTAAACTGAACTTAGTCAGAACGTTGATTACTAACTCATTGACATTACAATGCCACCTTAGCCTATTTATGTAACCTAGTTAAAATAATAAAACATCTTTTCAAGACCTTTACAAGAGCATGTGAAAGAAAGATTAATGCTTAGCAACATGTGACAAATAATAAGATATATGACCAAAAGCTTTGTCCGTGAAGTATTTTTTAAAAAGTATTCTGATAGTTGGGAGAGGGGTAATAAAGTTGCCTGCCTGTATTTATGAGAACACAAGCAACTGACTTGACAAGAAATCCAATGTATTGATGGATGTATATATGTATGTACATATCTGCAGAGTTTTTATGTGAAGTAATTGCCAAACAGTCAAAGCCCAGTGCAGTGCAATGTAATTATTCTACTTAAAATACCTTGTTCTAAATTCCCCAAGCTATATCATCTGCAACTATTGAGAGACCATTTTGACTTTTTTTAAAAATTGGAGCATGGTAATGCAACATGAATGGTAGGTCAATAATGCCCGGCTCCCAATCTGCAAAAATTAATCGTAAACCAATTCAACTTGGGCAATTACTAGGGCAGTTGTAATGCAGGCAGCTAGGACCAGCTGTGATTAGTTGGTACAGACAGTGGTTACTCAAATTGGAAGTGTCCAGTGCCAGTGCTTTCTAGTACATTTCCACAAGTGTAATTTTCCTAACAAAGTAGGAAGAAACAGAACAGCTCTTTTCAGGGGAAAAAATGCTTCAAATGTTTTGCATTCCCATATAGGAACTAAAATCTCAACCAGGGTCTACTGAATGAAACTTATTGTAATAAAACATTGCCATATCAGGGAACTAAATTGGTGTGAAAAATTAGGTTTTCCTGCTCCTTGTTGGACGACAGTCAGTCTTAAATATTGCTGTAAAAAATTTGTGGCCTTTTTGATCAGAAACCTAATTATTTGAAAAAAGGAAGGAAAGTGGGACATATTGTAAAAAAACGTGAGTTGGTAGATCATTAGAATTCATGTATTTTTAAATATTGTTATTTTACATTCTTTTCTGACTGCTATTTATGGAACTGATGAGAGAAAAATTCCAAAAGATTGTGTGATACCTTTCAACATTCAAATAGTTTTGACCCTAACTGTCTTCCCCATCCAGGATGTACTGTGCTGAGCACAACTGCTCAGTGTGAGTTTGTGTACCTGACTGTGCTAAGCAAATTAATAATGTAGGGAGTTTCAGAATGTTGAGTTTATATTTGAAAGGTAATTTTGATTCAGTTGGCTTCTGGAGTCTGAAATGCTACAACTGTATTTTACTCTAATCGTTCACTTTTGTCTCAAAGAATTGAAATAATTTGTAGCAGAGCTGTCTGCCACTAATGTGTTCAATTGCTCACTCATGCAATTACATTTATTGTATAGCCACAAAAATGATATTGGCACCTTTTGATGACTATGGCATTTCAGCTGTAAAATGCAAAAATAACCTTTTTATTATTCTGAGGAGGCCAAATCTAGTAGCTATTCAAAACTCAAAAAAAAACGCATTATTGTAAGTACTCTGTGCTAGAGTGTCATTCCATGGCATAACTGGCTGTCAGATCAAGATGATTCGTGTTTGACAAGATGATCAGTGAGATTTTCCCCACTTTGGCCAAGAAACACCGTAGCGTACCTTGGATCAGACCTGCCATCTCCCTGGGTCATTGGATTAACAAATACTTTTCCAGTTGCATCATTGAGAGTTAGCACACTGCAATTTAGTATTATTTTGGGCAATCCATATTATTTGACCTCAAGAACAATTTGTGTTTATTAAATACATTTTACATTGAAAGGCATCTCAAAAACAAGGCCAAGGACAGGATTTTCAGCAAGCTCCTACAGGAGA